GTGGGGTTAAAATGAATGGGCCTTAAGGGGGCGGGGCTTAAAAGGGTGGGCCTTAAAGGGGGGAGGGGCTTAAAGGGGCGTGGTTCAATGGGGAGGGGCTTAAAGGGGAGGGGCTCTGTAGGTGGAGCTCAATAGGGGTGGTGTCCCCTCCCCCCCCCCATGGCAGCCCCCTGGGAGCCCAAGGCTGGGCAACCGGTGGCCAAAGAGGATCACAGCCACACGTCCATCCTGATTGGCTGCCTGGTGGCCATCATCCTGCTCCTATTGGCCGTCATCGTCCTCATCCTCTGGCGGCATCACTGGAGGAAGATCTTGGGGAAGGTGAGTGGGGGGGGTCCGAGTGTGGGGAGATGGGGCGATTGGTTGGGTAATGAGGCCGTTAATTGGGGTGATGGGGTGGTTGGATAGGTGGTGGGGTCGTTAATTAGGTAACGGGGGTCACTGGTTAGGTGATGAGGTCATTAGTTGAGTGATGAGGTGGTTCGTTGGGTGACGGGGTTGTTAAATGGGTAACGTGGTCATTAATTGGGTGATGGGGTCATTAATTGGATGGTGAGGTCATTAACTGTGTGAAGGGGTTGTTGGTTGGGTAATGAGGTCATTACTTGTGTGATGAGATGGTTAGTTGGCTGATGGGGTCGTTAATTGGGTAATGGGGTTGTTAATTTGGTGGTGGGGTCATTAATTGGGCAGTGGGGTGGTCGGTTGGGTGGTGGGGTCATTAATTGGGTAATGGGGTCATTAATTAAGCAGTGGGGTTATTGGTTGGGTGATGGGGCCATTAATGGTGTGGTGGGGTCACTGGTTGGGCGATGGGGTCGTTAATTGGGTGATGGGGTTGTTAATTGGGTTATAGGGTCATCCATTGTGTAGTGGGGTCATTAACTGAACAATGGGATGGTTGGTTGGGAAATGGGGTCTTTAATTGGGTAGTGAGGTCGTTAATTGAGTAATAGGGTCATCCATTTGGAAATGGGGTCGTTAATTGAACGATGGGATGATTGTTTGGGTGATGGGGGCCATTAACGGGCTGGTGGGGCCGTTAGTTGGGAGATGGGGTCGTTAATTGGGTAGTGGGGTCGTTAATTGAGTAATAGGGTCGTCCATTGTGTAGTGGGGTCATTAACTGAACAATGGGATGGTTGGATGGGAAATGGGGTCTTTAATTGGGTAATGGGGTCGTTAGTTGAGTAATAGGGTCATCCATTGGGTAATGGGGTCATTAATTGAGCAGTGGGATGGTTGGCTGGGTGATGGGGCCATTAATGGGCTGGTGGGGCCACTGGTTGGGAGATGGGGTCTTTAATTGGGTTGTAGGGTTGTTAATTGGGTGATGGGGCCATTAATGGTGTGGTGGGGCCATTGGTTGGGCGATGGGGTCTTTAATTGGGTAGTGGGGTCATTGGTTGGGTGATGGGGTCTTTAATTGGGTA